TAATCATCTCCTTGATGATGGAAGCAGCGAAAACCTCTGAAACGTTTATAGACCTCTACCAGACTACAAGGCGCAACAACCCATCTTCGGACTGACCGCTGTGAAAACCTCATATCCAACTGATTGTGTTAACCTCCATTACAAAATCTATTCATTACTTTAAAAGACTAAGAAAACGTCTGGACAGACAGACATGACCTCCCTACTATGTTATGTTATTCTAATTCGTAACTATACATGTACAGACTAATAAAACAAAAACGAACTATAAAAATCACAAAACGTGTTTCTTTGTAATTTCCGTCAGTGTATAAAGTACGCGTAGTTGGATGATTATGCCTGTCTCTCAACATGTGTTATCTGCCATATTAATTATCAGATTTCCATTTAATCTAGTGTCGGGAGTTACATATTACACTTTTCCTTTTAACAAAAATTTCGCCCACATCAAACCACTATATTCTGTCCATTATACAAAGCTCAAATCAAACGGTATCAACTCCATCTAAAATTATTCATTATATATAACAGATAAAACTTCTAAAATATGGACACCATAAAGATACATAATTTTCATAATATGTCGCATGTTTAACAAATAAATATCCCTATTCAGTGCGGCATCTGTGCTATTAATTCAGTCAACAACAGACTTATGAATTCTCAGTTCTTATCTCTGATTATCCGTCGTGTCTGGTGTGCAACAAAATCTCAAATGACGCACTTCGGCTATTACCGTTACTGCATTTTGTATGGTCTCAGTAGAGCAGATACTGGCATCATCTAACAGCGGCTTAGCTCGAGCATAATGACCCCAGAGAGGGCGCTTTCCTTAACTCCACATCCGGCGTCCGTCACTCACCAATTATTCATGTTCCAAATTAAAGTGGTGCTGACGGCGAAGAGGGATATTGGATCAATAAAGCTTATAAATTTTCAGAACAACAACTAAGTACCTACTAAGTGGTTTACAAGATTCTGACACGTCATTTCAAACACAGGTTGCTTAAATGATGCTAGACAGACCAAAC